TAATCTAAAAAACCACGTTTTGAAAAAGCAAAAAATAACCTTAAACGTGGTGCGCATGGAGATTGTTGGGAAGAAGTGAAATACAAATGAAATAGATGCGCACCACGTTTAAGGTTATTTTTTGCTTTTTGAAAATGTGGTTTTTTAGATTAATTTTTTAATCTACTAAATTTTTCCATCCAAGATTACAAATACAGGTGACTTGCACAGTTGAAATAACGTCATCCAAATACAGTACAAGTTATCCAGATTTCCACAAGACCTAATTTTCGAGAAACTATCCACAGAAGCAAATGTAATTTGAATGCAGTCATGCATCTTCTTTTTTTCTATTTATTTGTCATATAAAATGAAACACTGGTTTCATTTCACAAAAGTGAAATGAACAAGAAGAAGAACAGGGCCAGGGATACAATTTAATACTGTAAATAAAATAATAATATTAAAAAAAAGATGACAGCAGTAGTAGTAGTAGTGTATACCTCTCGATCTCGTCCTGGCCCGACACGTTGGTGACGGCGGCGATGTAGCGCATGATGATCTTGGACGCCTCCGTTTTCCCGGCGCCACTCTCGCCACTGATGACGATGCAAGTGTCTTCCCCGCGCCGCTTCATCGACTTGTGCGCCGCGTCGGCAATGGCGAAAATGTGCGGCGCCCTCTCGAAAATCTCTCTGCCTATTTATTTGTTTTTGCAAAAAAAACAGCAAAAATTAATAACACACTTCTTTCAAATGCTGTGCACTCTCAACAATAAATAAGCCCAGGAATGGGAACATTCTTGAACCAAACCCAGTTATTGTAGAGATGGATTCTCTCTCTCACTCTCTCAAAATGTTTTTTTTGCTAAATAAATAATCATTTTATTCCAGGGTTCTTTCCCCATATTATAGGGGCTCTGAACAAAGAAACTCTCCTTACAAAAAATTTTCTCTCTGGTCCCATGAATATTTGTTTGTACAGGGAGTCCATCTGTATTTAAATGGAGTGAGAGAATGAGGAAATTTAATTTTTTGGAAGGTACACAAATAAACACAGGAGTGATTGCAACTGCACAAGTGGACTCTGTGTGAAATGAAACTCAAGGGACAAGAAATATAATTCTTTGTTCAGAGACTTTTGTTGTAGATACATTCTAATACAGTACATGGGAAAAGGACCACACACAAAAATTTATTAAGCAAGAGAAAATATTTGGAAAGAGAATTCACCTGTACTTTTAACAATTTGCTCTTTTATGCAAGCAAGCAAATAGAGAGATGTAATATAAACAGGAAATATGACCCACAAAAAATAAACAACAACATGTTCAGAGAAAATTAATGCACTACAACAGCATTCAGTTCATTCCTGACACCAGTTTGTAGAATATTTTTTTTTTCTTTTCATGGATGCAGAAACCTAGGAACAAACCTCCAACACTTTCCAGATACCAGAAATAATTTGGTAAAAAAATCTTACAGGGGGAAAAAACAGGATCATGTGCGAATAAAATTGTAAATGTGAAATTGTTTATACAAGATTTGAGACCCTTCAAAGCTCAAAAAGCAAGCAGTCAAACTGAATTTTCGCTTTGAAGAAGCTTAAATCTGGTATAAAAAATTTTAAATATACAATTTTATTCGCACATGATTCTGTTTTTCCCCCCTATAAGATATTTTACCAAATTATTTCTGGCATTTATATAATTTGGAAGGATGTGGTATGGACATAAGAATTTGCATGTAAACAAAGGTGCACAATTAATTTGACTAAACAAACTTTGAAAGCGTCACAGTCAATTTGAGGTCAACAGATGACCCACCTCCTTTCTTTTTCATGCGTGAGAAAAGAAAAGAGTTCCTTACCTTTTTTTTACCTAAGGGACAAAATAAAGGGAGGTTAGTTTCTTAAAAGTTCCGTCTCGTAGTGAAAAGGGTGTCGGTTAAAAGACACCCTTTTCAGCCTAGAAATCCGAAAATGAATCTGTCTTTCTTCCATCCTTTCCTCCCACAGATAAACAAACCAAAGTTTGTTTCTTTCTACTACTGTACTAATTGATTTAATTTTTACCGTTTCAAACGGGCCGAAGAACAACAGAGGTGTTAATAATAAGGACCAAAAAACAAACAAAGAAAAAGTTACACGTTTACGGGTATTTCGTTCTCAAAGTCATGGTTTCAGAACAGCAAACACAGGAAGTGGATGGCACATATCCACAATTGAATAAATTTAATTTTCATTTATTCGACCTGCCGTATCGTCTGAGGGTGTAATTTTTTTTAAGGGGACCCTGTCAATAAAAATTCAACAGTTTGCTGAAGAAGAAAAGTCCCACGAATGTCCATTTAAAAAGTGACAAATTCCTGAGTAACAGTTTACATCATTGTACTCTATTGTACTCACATGAGAAAAACACCTGACTTGAACATGTCCTTCAATCATTGCTCATATGTACCATCCTAGGATATTTATCCAAATATCCTGTCTTTTCAACAACAGAAACCAGCTCATAGGTTAAAAATAATTAAATAAATATACTGTACAGTAGTACAAAGAAAATTGTCAGCCCCAAAACTCATTCACCGACGTGATGGTTTCAATTCTCATCAACAACAACAAAAAAGAGCAATCTCAATTATTCGAGTACTGTACTGTGCATCCTTGAAAACCGTGTCGCATGTACTAACTAGGTGTTTCCAAAAAATAAAAAATAAAACCCCAGTGTCACTCCCCAAAAAACGAAAATCAGACGCAGAAATGAGGACG